AGGTTAACAGTCTGATCACTGGGAAACCACTCAATCATTACAATTCCATTAATGTCGAATTTTGATTTTGACATGCGTGCTTTTTTGGGTTTTGGGGATCCTGAAGATTTCCACTGCATCGACTGGCGCTTACTTTGTGTGTCATAGGTAAAAATCAGTGTCTCATCACATGTTACAACAGATTTCAACAAATTTTACAAGAAACTTGATGTTTATTCGCTGTTCGGTTTTCACGTTAGACATTTTTCTATACATAATAACGTATTGTTTAATTTGCCAAGTTCTATTATTTCTATTATTAATATTATATCAAAATCTACTTAATTTCTTTTGATCAAACCAATATACTTTTCATATTTTGTTGTTATTTGTTACTTGTTATTTGTTAAATTCATCATTTTCATTATTTTATTGAATAAACCTTATTGTTGAAAGATATTGACCTGTGGATTTCACTCCTTAACCGCACACCACATGAATCCCACAATCTTTAGATTTAGTTATTTTCCAATACGAGTCGTTCAGTTGGTAAAAGCCGCTCTTTACCTTACTAGCGCTAGTAACTATCTGAATCTAGGTTCCAGAGTCGTTACACAAGTATCAAATCTAAAGTTGTTTTAATTTGAAATGTTTAAATTACAGTTTCAGAGCAAAAAAGTATTATAGGATTTGAATGATTTGGCGCAGAATAACATATGGACTTGATGTTATTTTTACATTAATATGTTAAAAAATAAACAACTTCAAACAAAATAGTATTTATTATAGGAAAGAGCACAAAATTTAATATAGAAAACAATGGAAATATAATCTTTTTCCAAAAGTGAACGTAGTACGTTCTGGTTATGTAGTTCAGATAAAAGAAACCAAAACGTGCTAAATTAAAATCATATTTTTCCCCTAAATACAGAATTTTTTATCTGTTACTCGCATGTATTTACTGTATTAATTCTGCCATTCAAATGAACTTTGTAATTGGTATTTCATTTCTTCGTGTTTTGTAGCATTATTATGGTGTAAATTGAGTTAAGATTGTTTATTCGCAATTTACGGTATTTTAATCTACTTTTATGTGGAACCAACGAAAGTTTGCCGAATAAATCAGCCATTTTATCGCCAACAACCATTAAAAAGAAAAGGCAATAAAGATTACTTACGATTCATTAATGGGTACATTTAAATAATGTTCCAACAGTTAAATGATAAACTTGTCTCTTGCGAAATAAATGCAAATTTATTTCGACATCCAAGGGCACAAGATATATTAGCATCGATTTTCATTAAGTCGATCGTATGTGCATGTTAGTTGATGGAGTGCAGCTTGAAAAATTGCCGTCTAACGGCCTATTGTCAGCTT